CCAGCGCCTCTTGCGTGGATGGACGACTCACACCAGCCACCCCCTGCCCAGCCCCGGGAGCCTCTGGCCCTCCCTGGACGATCCGGCCCGTATTTGCAATGACTTCTCTGACCCGGGCACTTCCTCCCCACAGAGAGGGGCTCTGCAGGCAGGGCCCCTGTTGGGATAAGCGTGTGAGTCACAGTGCTATCAGGCGCCTCTCTGATGTGGAGAGAGCAGCGCACTGTGGGCTCCGGCTGCACCCCCTGCCTGGGGGGTGGGGGAACCCCGCAGAGCCTCAGGCCGCCTGTCTGCAGGGAGAGGGCGTCTCAGGGGCAGGCGATGACGCGTGGTCTGCTCCCATCCCTGGTCTCTCCGGCTGGGAGGGCTGGGAGAGAATAATGATTAACTTTGCTTTCCTTTCCCGGGTTGCTTTGGCAAAGTCGCCCGGCATCTCCCTTTTGTTCTGCCTGAGGAAGTCCTATCAGAAGGGAAGATTTCATCAGGGCGGATAAGCCCTGTGTCCCGGGGATCCGGGCCTCCCCCAGGGCCGGCCCGCCCCCTCCCTGCGCACCAGTCCCCACGGCTCCAGGCGCGCCTGGCACGGGGTCCCGGGCAGCCTACAACACAGGCTTTGTTTGGGGAGCCCGGGGAGGCTGCTGGCTACAGAGAAGTTCCTCCGTGGACCAGGCCTGTCCATGACATCTGGCGTCTTTCCCAGGAACCCCTCTCCCTCTCTCCCTCCCTCCCTCCCCCAACAGAATTTTGAATGAATTAATGGAATTATAGTCCTTTGAATTCGCCTGACAATTCTCCTCTCCCAGGCTCAGATCACATTGGCCACTCCGTGTGTCTAGATGACGCCACAGTTTTTTAGTAATATCCCTGGCAGAGATCCACATGGGTGTTTCCCCGGAAAAGGGGGGCTCCCGCCATTCTCCAATCCGCATTTACTGAGTCTTTACCCTGCGCCATGCACTGCCCTGGGCACTTTATATTCAGTTTTAAAATATTATTATTATTATGTTAATCCTCCCCCGAGGATATTTTTCCATTGATTATTAGAGAGAGTGGAAGGGAGAGAGAGAGAGAGAGAGAGAGAGAGAGAGAGAGAGGAGAGAGAGAGAAACACCAGTGTGAGAGAGACACATAAGATTAGTTTCCTCCTGCATGTGCCCTGACCAGGGCCCAGGCTGGGGAGGAGCCTGGTATGGGCCCTTGTCCGGAATCAAACCCGGGACCCTTTGGTCCACAAACCGGCCAGGGCCTGATTGTATGTTTGCAACCACACACGGTCAACACCAGCTGATGGCAGCATCTGCAGATGACACACCGACATGTGCACTAGGTCTCATCAGGATGTGTTTCTTGCTTCTCCGCTGGCACGATGCTGGCTTTGTGGCAAGGTGGTCCCAGGCATAGAGCTGGCCTGTGGACACACCATGCTTTTTCACCCTAATCTGTTCCGTAAGCTAAAATAGGTCATACCATCGACTCCACCCTGACTCAAATATTGTGATTGTCACGGTGCCCGGAATCAGAAAGAGCCGGAATTTAAATCTTTCAATACCCCGCCCACTCCTTACCCTCCCTGCGTCTTTCCCTGGCGTGGCTCCGTGGTTGAGCCATGACCTATGAACCAGGAGGTCCTGGTTCGATTCCCGGTCAGGGCACAGGCCCGGGCTGTGGGCTCCATCCCCAGTAGGGGGCGTGCAGGAGGCAGCTAATCAATGATTTATCATTGATGTTTCTATCTCACCCTCTCCCTTCCTCTATGAAATCAATAATAAAAAATATATATAGCCCTGGCTGGCTTGGGTCTGATGTTTCTCTCCCCTCTCCCTTCCTCTCTGAAATCAATAAAGAAATATATTTAAAAAAATATATAAAAGTATTGGTTCAATAAACTAAACTAAGACAGAATCCTGCCATGTCCGTGCCCAGGTTGCTGTCCCCATCACCAGCTCCGACCAGCGCCCCAGGCTTCCACCCCCAAGACGCCCCCTTTGTCCTCAGGTGCCCGTGGATTCTCACCGGCCTCCCTGGCCATCTCCGAGTGAGCCGGGCCGGCGCAGACTTGGCCGTGGAGCCGGCACAGACGGGCTCCCGGTCCCGGACACGGTATTCTCTTACACCCCCTGAACCGGCCGCCGGAACTGGATCAGCCCTGTGAATGGCCCTCAGTCTGGCACAGAGCGGGGCGTGTGTGAAAGTTCAGGCCGGGCCGGTGGGAACCCCGCACCCCCGCCTACCCCAGCCTCCCCGTCTCCCGGGCTCCGCAGCCTCTGTGTTCATCGCTGGGTCATCACAGAGGGCGGATGGCTTACGCAGGGGGTCATCCCGGTGACACAGCCTGAGGTCACCATCAAGTGGTTTTCAGAGCTTCTGCTTCCTCTTCCAGGTTTTCCGAAGTGACCGAACAAGGCGCCTGATTCAGAGCCAATGAGAACATTCGAGCCTTTTTCTGTGTTTTTTTTCCCCTGTTGTCCCCACAAGACAGGAGGCCACAGGTGGGAGTCTCAGCTTGTTATTCTCAAGTGAGTTATGTCCTTTTGCTCAGGACATAACTAGAATACATTTTTCTCCTTTTTAT